CTCGAACCGCCTCCCTCTGACCCAGTGCTGGGCTGTGGGCAGCCCGCGGAGAGCTGGTAGCGTGGCCGAGGGGTCCCGGGACCCCAGGGCCGGCTCTGCTGCTCGGTGCAGGTCTGAGGATGCCTTCAGGTGCCTTGTGCCCCTCTGGGCCGTCCCCAGCTCCTGCTTCTTCATCAGCCCTCTTCCTCCAGGGCAGCTCTCCCTCTGGCAATGCTATAGCCAAGCTTGTATGAACCTGCCTCGAAACCCGAGCGATGTTGCCTTAGCCTCTGTAAGGTCTTTGAGCCGAACCCCTAGCTGATAAGGTTTATCTTAAACTTTTAAGGCATGTGAAGTTTAAAATCCTAGTACAAGTTAAATGTGGTGTTTCTCACAGCTCTTAATGCTTTTTCACAAGGGAGTTTACCTAGGGCTGACCTGATTGGTGTTCTTTAAATACATAGAAACACAGCTGGAAGATTCAGATGAGGACAGAGCCCATTTAGCTAGTTAATCCTGAAGATTGGGTCCTGTCTAAACTGGAGCACTGAGTAGTAAAGGCACAAACGATCCTTTTCTGTGGTGTAGCTCTCCATCGCCCTTCGCTGGACCCTTGGTCCTGCATTGTCTGAGCACATTGGTGTGCCTCTCCTAGCAAGCAGTTCCTGAGCTGGGGAAACCTTGTCTCATGTAGGGGAGGAACCTGAGGTGCCCAAAAATTGTGAAAGTACTGCTGGATCTTCAGCAGGCAAATCTGCGCTCTGGGGACAGGCAACCGTAGCGATGAGCAGGCAGAGCTCGGCAGTGCTGCTGCCCAGAGGGGCACCAGGCTTGGGCAGCCAGCGGGAAAATAGTGATGGCTCTGGGAAGAGAGAGAAACCTGATGCAGCTGGGGCTGCTCATGTAACATCAGGTTTGCTGCATTATAGGTTTGCTTCGATGGTTTCCATGTCAGTGTCTTTCTGGAAGAGCGAGGTGTGAAGCAGGGACTCCTGGAGTCTCTTGTCCTGATGGCAGCAGCATCCCTGTGTAGGCGCTGTAAGGCTGCTCCAAGGAGCAGAGGCAACGGCCTTGGCTGTGCCACGAGTCAGGCGGCAGGAAAGCAGGCTCGCTCTGGAGCCAGGAACATCCTAGGTGACAGTATGGTTGTGTACAGGTTTAGCGTGGCCACAGACATGAAGTATTTCAACCAGGTAAAGGTGCTGTGATGCTGCACGGAGCGAGGCAACATGCTCACATCTTGTGACATGGACCACGAGCCGCAAGAGCTGCAGCATCCCACAGCATCTCTGTCTGCAGGGAATCATACTGGTGGGAGCTGCTGGGGAAGGGGTGGGAGGCATAAGGCTGTGTCATCCCCCCCGACCTTGCCTGCAAATGTAGGAAGGACAGAGCGATCCACCGACAAATAACTATTTAGATTCAGCGCTCAAGCCAAGAACTGAGTGGCTTCAGTCTTTACACTGTTCAAAAACATTTAATATCTTAAGAGAATACAAAATGAATAACTATTTAGAGCTTTATTTTGAAGAATGCAAAGCTCTTCAGTATTTTGTGGTGAAAATGAGCGGTTCTGCAGGTCATTCTTTGTGGGGAGATAATGAGAGGTACCGAGGATTACCCAAAGGGGGACTGCTCCAACGTGCCACTAGCAAACCCCAGATTTATCACTGAAATAGATGCAAAATGCCAGGTGCTCTGTGCTTTTGTAGGTCTAACCCTGAAGCTGCCCGATAGTGGAGTTCCTCAGACAGTTTAGGTGCCTATGTTGAAATGTTGGCTTTAATGCCATCAGGAGTTGCCCGACTGTCGCTGTAAAAGGAGAATAGAGGGGAAAAGCCAAAACGGTTGAGAAATAAGTTTGTCTCTTAAACATTAGAGTCAGTCAGTGTTGTCTGGAAAAAATGCCTCTGCAACGTCCTCTGTGTAGGGTTTCTTGCAGAGGTGATACTCTTACCCTCTGGAAAGGGGGGGGGGGGGGGGGGGACCCAAGGGGGGGGGGGGGGGGGAGGAACCCAAAAAACAAAACAAACAAAAAAAAATCAAACAAAAAAAATCCCCCCAAAACTCAACCAACTACAAGTTCCTTGATATTTTTTTTTTTCCCCAAGGCTTAGCTAACAGACAGGAGTGAGCTGCTCAAACTGATGTTATGCGAAACTGGCAGTAGGATGCATATGTGCTGGAAAGGCCAACAAGTGGCAATAGTCCAGAAGTTGTTATGAACACAGTCTATCAGTAATGCCTTGGTATCCTTCAGTATATCTGCTCACATGAGTTATGTAAGGGGCATTACCAATAACTTTAATGACTCTGGTATCTGCCTATGTCGTGAAGTTGATGTGTTAGCACTTTCTGGATGTTACTTGTTTTCTAGAAAAATATATTTTTGAACTACCTGCATAATACTTCCTCTGTCTCTATTGTGAAGGTAGTTGTCCACGGCAGTAAAGGAAAGAATCAGATAATTTGTTTTAATAATTTTTGAAAGTGACTTTATTCAGTATCATGTCAAACACTAAAGTATAACGTTGCTGTCAGCTGTTTTCGTCTGTTGTAAACTATGGACTAAATAACGATCTTGGCAAACATATTTTTCTTAGAGATCTATTATGGGCACGCATCTTTTGCAAGCAGGGATTTCAAAGTTCACATCTTGTACTTGGTCTTATCTTAATGATAATGAATTTGCTCATGTGGTTTTATAGGAAATGCTGACATCCACTATGTGGGCACAGGGCCTTTATCTGAAACGGTGCAAGCTCAGCCTTCGAGCCTGTTCCCTGAGCCAAGCAAGCCCTGCAGAACAGTGCTTGGAGGGCTGCCAGGGATAGCAAACCTGCCGTGAGCAGCTGGAAGTGACTTCGGGGCTGCAAGCAGCTGTCTGCTCTTGCTGACCTCGGTGGGGGACCCCTCCTGTGCTTCCAGGGCTTCCTAGGTTTATCCCCAGGTTATGGGAATGCCTGCTAACATGGATCACTCCGTTGGGCCTTGCATTCAGCCCTCCTTAAGTCTAAGCCATGCAAATTTTGCCCCTTTTCAGGACTTGGCATCCATCCTGGCAGGGCATCTTCAGTCTATTCCTTACTGTTGAATTGCCTTTAGGGTAACATCCGTGAGAGTGAATTAAAACAGGATTCACCTTCTGTGCGTGGTAGAGTGGTCTACCACTACGTTCAATGATGTGTGGTGCGCAGTCATAGTAGGATGGGATGCTTTGTCTCATCAGTCCTTTTTGATTTTTCCCTGGGAGTGTATGTCAATCTACGCATAGCCTGAAAAGCACAAGGCAATCAGCTGAAGTTTTTCCCAATAACCTCCTTGCACCATAAAAAGTCCCTCTTTAACAAACTGAAAACTTACTCATCCTGAACAATACTGTGTTTGTTTCACAATTTGTTTTGAGCTGAACTTTTCCCATGTCTTCCAGTGGTTTTAAAGGAACGTTACTTAGTAGTTTCCATTAACTTCTGTTTTTTTCCCTCCACAGCTGCAAAAAGTAAGGTCAAGTCGGTAAGTATTGTTTTCTCTTATGAAAAGTTGCTATACTGACTCTCTTTGGGTTACATTGTTTGGGTGACTTCAGTAGTGCACAAAAAACATCCTATAAACATACTTTAGAAGTATGAAATAATGAGTTATTGGCCAATACACACAAAACAGTCTGGTAGCTCATTTTAGCCTGGAGAAAAGGAGGCTGAGGGGAGACCTCATCGCTCTCTACAACTACCTGAAAGGAGGTTGTAGCGAGGTGAGTGTCGGTCTCTTCTCCCAAGTAACTGGCGAAAGGACGAGAGGAAATGGCCTCAAGTTGCGCCAGGGGAGGTTTAGATCGGATGTGAGGAAAAATGTCTTTACTGAAAGAGTGGTTAAACATTGGAAGAGGCTGCCCAGGGAAGTGGTTGAGTCCCCATCCCTGGAAGTATTTAAAAGACGTGTAGATGAGGCGCTTAGGGACATGGTTTAGTGGGCATGGTGGTGTTGGGTGGACGGTTGGACTCGATCTTAGAGGTCTCTTCCAACCTTTATGATTCTATGATCCCAGCTAAGCATTAGTGTGCTCACCACCCTGATAAAATGTCTGAAGAGCCTTTGCTGACTGGGCAGATGTTGGTAGGGAGGAGAAGGGTCCCTGGAGCCCATCCTTCACGTGGCTGAGTTGTCATCATCTGCTGACTCTCCCTTAGGACCTTTTTACCTTTTGGTGTTAGTGTTCTTCCTCTTGAATGCTTGAACTGTTAATGACATGTCTCAGCAGCCCTATCTCTGTCTTTGCTTTTCTTATCTTGCAAGGTTTTACTCTGCAAACTTTCCCCGCAGCTTTCTCATAGCTTAGTGGCTTCCTCAGCAGCCAAAGTCAAAGCTGTGCAGCGGGGTGGTGTCAGACCTGTGCCTGGCATCCCCAGGGCAGGGGAAGGTTACAGAGAGCGTTATAAAACATAACCTTCAGGTTACTTCTTCCGTGGTGGATCCAGTGCTTTCTGGCCAGTAGGGATCGCCACAGAAGGTATTTCAGTAAACGTGGGTGTGGGCACATGTATAATGCACCAGAGGTTTAAGAGGACAGTATAGTGCAAAACAAGAAGAGTATAGGTCATATATTATCAAGGTATAACTGCATATTCTCTTCTTGCTTGTATCATCTTGGAAAAATAGAAGGTCTGTTACTTTGGGAAAGACCCTGTAGCTTTCTCCTGCGTGCCCCTGTTTGTGCTCAGCCCCAGCTGTGACACGCAAATCTCTGCCAGCTCGGGGTCAGCCAGTAAAAACCCACCCACGGCTGCTGTGCCAGCGTGTGAATGCAAGACATCTCTGCCAGGCACATAAGTGCTAGTGGCTTAAAACAGAAACCCAACCTTGGTGGAAGTTTGTTACCTCCCCAGATCAGCATGTAACACCGCTCATACAATAAGCTGTTGGGCAGTGTGATGGTGTAACATTGGGGAGGTTTGAGAACCCCAAGAAGGACAAAAAGGCTTTGTGAATTTCTGGTGGGGATGGGTCCTGCCGGGACTGCCCTGTCCCTTTTTTCTCTGTAGGCAGGCCAGACACAGGGAAGGCTGTCTCCTGCTTCAGATGGGGACATCCTCTCTTCCCCAGCTAGCTTATACCCAATTACACTGGCAGAAACCAGCTGCACAGCGTGGGTTTCTGTTTTGGGGCCTAACCCAACAACTGCTGAAATCAAAACCTTTTGGTTATATCTATGGGTGCTGAGCCAAACCGTCGCAATGTGGTTCCCCATCCACCTCCTCAGGAGCATGAATGCATGGCTTAGTGATGGTGCGCAGACAGGGCTGGGTGGCATTCTTCTGTATGAACTCCGGTCCACCAAGAGCTGTGTCCAAGTTGGGGCTAGTCATCTAGAGCTCCTGCTATCTTCAGCTGAGGGAAGTAGGCACCTTCAAGTGAATTTTATCTAATTTGGGATACATGTGGATGGTCTTCCTTTGGAGGCACTTCTTTCTGCCCATGGAGGATGTGATAAATCAAGAGTGACAAGTTTCTACTTAGGCCTCTAATTTCTGTTGCTCTGAAGCTAGACAAGTCCCACCTGGCACTCACCTCAGCTGAAGTCAGATTCTTTCAGTGCAGCTTGCTTATCAAACCGTGGGTAAGATGTGCACTGTATACTCGGTTCAGCCGATAACAAAGATCAGTGCTGTTCAGGCTGCTTGGACATCCTCGTGCCTGAGTCACACTAAGTCAGCAATACTCTCGCCACTCTCTCATTTTCATTTCTCTTGCAGTATTCACAAAAAGCTTATTGTAGCACACAAGTCTCACGAAGTGTTGTGGTGTTCATTAAGGCTCTGGCCAGAGGCTTTGCTGGAGACATGGGCTCTCCGATTTACTCAAGTCGGGCGGGATTTTCCTGCATAAGGTTTCTTTCCTTTTGATCTACAGAGTTAACTTTTTTCTGTTTCACGTGGAATGTGGATTGGTTTGATTCCTAAACCCTCACAACATGAAGACAAACAATGCCATATTTCTTTCTTGTCCGTGCTTCTTAAGTTTCATAACTCTCCTACCTCTGGGATGTTCTGAGGTTTCTTAAAAATCTGATTTTTGCAACTTGCAGAATTAAACCCATAAAAAAGGCAAAATATAGAGGTTTATGTTCAACTTGCATTCTTAGTAATTTTAATAGAAACGATATCATGTATTCATCCACTAAGAAAAGTAGGCGATCAGAAGTTAAACTTCCAGTTCAACCAATCATGCCAGACTGGTACCTGAGGTGTCCTTTTCCCCTTTGTCACAATGGCAAGAGCCATGTCACGAGCTGTGTGATGGTGACTGTGGAGATGCCTATCGCAGCGGGTGAAGGCTCAGTAAATCTGGCAGTTAATGCCATGCCATATGTCCTGGTTTCGGCAGGGATAGAGTTAATTTCCTTCTTAGTAGCTGGTGCAGTGCTGTGTTTTGGATTTAGGATGAGAACAAAATTGATAACACACCGGTGTTTTAGTTGTTGCTAAGCAGTGCTTACACTAGTCAAGGACTTCTCAGTCGGTAGAGCATGGGAAGCTGAGGAGGCTGGAGGTGCACAAGAAGCTGGGAGGGGGCACAGCCAAACTGGCCAAAGGGACATTCCATACCATGTGACGTCATGCTCAGTACATAAACTGGGGGAAGCTGGCCGGGGGGGCCGCTGCTCAGGGACTGGCTGGGCATCGGTTGGCGGGTGATGAGCAATTGCACTGTGCATCACTTGCTTTGTGTATTATTATTATTACATTATTATTATTATTTTATTTCAATTATTAAACTGTTTTTATCTCAACCCACAAGTTTTCTCACTTCTACTCTTCCAATTCTCTCCTCCATCCCACTGAGGTGGGGGGTGTGAGTGAGCGGCTGCGTGGTGTTCAGTTGCTGACTGAGGTTAAACCACGACACCATATTAGGTTAGGAGTAAAGTCAGTTCTATTGGCAAGTCTGAAGAAATGAAGGATTCTTCATCAAGCAGAGTATTTGTAAGGATAATCTCTCTTCCAAGAGATTTGTTTGAATAAAATTTTTAAAAGTTTTTCTGTCTCAACTGGAGGTATTTAGCAATAGCGTCAGGCTTCTAACTTTGGTGTGCTGTGGGGGTTTGGTGTGGGGTTTTTTGTTGGGTTTGGGTTTTGATTTTTTTCAAAAAACATTGGCTTTTTGCATAATTTTGGATACCAATCAAGATTGCTCTAAGGGTTAGATGCTGAAGACTTCAAATATGCATAGTGCAATGCTTGAAGGGCAAATATAGCACTGCCAAAGATTTCCAGCAAAGGGCAGATAAGACATCTGTAGAGCTCTGGGGACCAAGAGGGGAAAGTGAGAATTGACTCTTGGTTCAGGTAAACCAGTGTCGTTCCACAGAAGCCCATGCAGCCTAACCCCCGAGTACCTACCCACTCCCTCTGAGTCTGTATTGAGCTTGCTCAAGCTGTAGGTTGCAGTGAGTGACGTTAGTCTGTGTTGCACAGCTCTGTCTGGGCTCACGCTGTCTGTCTCTTGCCTCCAGCCAAGCTGCTTTGGCTACCCCTTGAGCATCTTCTTCATCATCATCAATGAGTTCTGCGAGCGGTTCTCCTACTATGGCATGCGAGGTACGTCCCGTGTCCTTGTGCCTACCATTACTTACCCAGCCCTGACTTTGGTTTGTAACCCGTTGTCTTGTTCTTCCTACAGCGGTGCTCGTTTTGTATTTCAAATATTTCCTGCAATGGGATGACAACTTGTCTACAGCCATCTACCACACGTTTGTCGCTCTGTGCTACTTGACACCGATCCTTGGAGCGCTCGTTGCGGACTCTTGGCTGGGAAAGTTTAAGTGAGTGCTTCCTCAGAAAACCAAAAATCATGACAGCTCACCTAAGATCAGTGGTACTGAAACCATTTCCTAAAGCAGCAGCTCAGAACAGCTGCAGAGCTGGTGTTGGCTACTCCAGGGTTGGTTGTGGCTTTTTTTTTTCCTCCAAAGCTTGAGGTTTTAATTGATTTAGCTCAGACCTGAAACTGCACTACAAGTTATAAATTGTTACAGTCCTGATAATCAGTTAAGGGTAGTACCTTTCTTTCCAAGCATGCTGCATGTTTTTTCTCTCATCTGGACAAAATGTAAGCTAAACTAAGGAAAGTACTCACCAAGCTCTGAAAATAAAGAGATACTGGAGGTTATAATTACATTGGATTGAATCTTTATGCATTGCAGGTGGCCAATGAAATAGTGAAATACCGTGTTATCTGGTATTAACTGGGGCTTAGAATATATTCTAAAATATTCTTTGATTTCAGTATTGACTTGACAGCGCAGTGGGAGGTTTTACTGAGTTGCAACTCATCCTTGAAAGGATGAATTCTGGGTTTTTACCTGTGTGCTAGTTGCTCAGAAAAGCACTGCTGAATGAAGTGCTTTGAAATGTAACCAAATTATTTCCAACAGCCTGACGTTGCTCTCCTTTACCGATGTCGTGATTCTAAAGTGTTTACTTTGCCAGAAAAGAGCACAATAAAGATTTTATGGGGGTTATGAGTCAGGAATGTTAGCTGACTTGTCAAAGGTCTCCCCGAGGTTGGAGATGAAGCCGGCTGTGATGTTGGTCGGCTGCAGGCTGCACCATCTTCTTCTGCTGTGTTGACAGTCTCTGGGAGACCAGGGCTGCAACCACTGTCAGGTGTGCTCTGCGGAGCTGGCCTGATCAGTATAAGCCATTGCAAGTAGCTTGATATCTCGCAGACTTCAGCCTGAATATATGTGCACTCACTTGTTCAGATGGTATGATTTTTAAATTTTTTTAAAAACTATTTTGGCTTTTACCTGTTTTTACCAGATGAAGCTTTGCAGAGCTTGCATCACTTCTCCTCTGGTACTTGTGTATACCGGTGCCACAGCTGCAAGCCCCTGGCCACCAGGCCCTTAACAGGAGTTCGATGGGATGGCTCAGGGCTTAAAACTGGAACTTTAAGCTTGACAAGAAAAAACATGCTTTTGGAAAAAAAATGAAAGAATTTGCTGGGTTCAATGTATAGATGCCCTAAAACACAGCAAGGTGCCATGAGGAAGGCTTAAACAATAATTCATTAAAAAATGTATGATGACAAGAGGAAGAGGAGGTTACCCAAGCACTGTTAAGCACTCTTACAGGAGATACTCAGACCTTACACAGCCCATGTACTTTGTGCAATGTCTGCCGAGGAGCATGCTGGGACCTACTCACATGTTGTTAGATGTAAAGTTCTTGGGGAGAACAGTACAGAAATCACAATTATTTTTTTAATTGGGTACCATCTATGCAGTGCCAATTATGTAAATGTTGTCTTCACAGCACGCCGATGCGCCTCACAAATAAAAACCAGAAGTTTCTCTCCTGGTCAGGTTTAACTTCCATTGGAAACTTTCTCCCAAGTTGTTAAGCAACTAAAGTAACTATGTGGAAGTGCTATTTAAAAAAAAAAAAAGTTCTGTTTTATCTAATAAATAGCAGATTCACTGTTGCCTTACTTTGCGTAGCTTTTTACCCTGCTACAGGGAAGAGCATTTTGAAGTCAGAAAATCCTTGTTCTAAAGTGAGAACAACTTGGTCGATGGTGTGAGTGATGCTTCCTCTGCCCCTCTTATATCAGGGTGCTCCAAGCTTGCTGTGAGGATCTCTTGCTTTCCTCAAACAGATTCAGGTTGTCCTAGGTCCCTGAGCCTCGCCCTTTGCTGAGTTTGGGGACTGCTTCTTCTGCAAACTGAAGTTTTAAATAATTTCACATCATTGCATCCTATTTCTCCTGCTTTTCCTCCAAACCAGAGACCTGGGTCTATGCCTATTGAATGGAGCCCCAACCAAGGAAGCAGGTGAACGTGGGTTAAATTATAGTCATGCACTTAAGTTCCAACAAAGTTAAAATGGAGTATGTTCTTCCACACAGGAAAGAGGAGTGGACCCTAAAGGCATGGGGGGGCCCCTGGTGATTTTGTAGTATTACCTTCCCAGACACCTCATGGCAGAGGAAAGTCAGGCTGAAAGTCTGTGGTCTGTACTCTTCAGTTCTGGTCTCACTCCACGCTGAGTTTAAAGATGTTGGTGTTTAAAATAGCTTTTTAATTTCTTTTTCTCCTTGCAGCTAAAAATTTAAAGAATGTAGAGTGTTTAAACAATATTAAAATCAGTGCCAATCGCATACTTCAGTGTTGTAGAGTAGTCCATTTGAACTTCACCATATATGAAATGTGATAATGGCATTCTCGAGTTGGTTATCAAAAAGGCAACCATTGAAGATATTTAATATCTCCTGTGACCTGGTGATATCTATAGAATCTACTTGTCACCTTGCCTTGCTTAATTAAACAAGGCTAGCTAAAATAATAAAAAAATAAACAGAATAGAAATATTGTGACAGAGGTATGTGGACAGATTTTTACAGTAGCTTGTGATAAGTTGAATCCATAACTTGTCGCATCTGTTAATTATGCTTCTTTACTAAGCATCTTTGAAATGAGCAGAAGTCTGCATTATCTGTGCGTGTATGTATATGTGTGTAATTGTGTTAACATATCTAAAAATTTCCCCTCTCTCCATAACAGGACCATTGTCTCCCTGTCCATTGTCTATACCATTGGGCAGGCAGTCATGTCTGTGAGCTCCATAAATGACCTGACGGATCACAACCGGGATGGCTCTCCCGATAATGTATCAGTGCACATGTGAGTTGCCTTGTATGTGGGTTTTTTCCAGCTTGATGAAGGGTGGGACAACTTATGCCTTAAATTCACGCTACTTGAATTTCAACTGTCTTGCAATCAGTCTCTTATGTACGCTTTAAGCAAGGAAGCAAAGTGATTTATTTTTTTCCTTTTTCTCTTTTCTACTTTGTTCCAGTGCTCTGTCCATGACCGGCTTGATCCTCATTGCACTTGGTACTGGTGGGATCAAACCTTGTGTGTCAGCGTTTGGTGGAGATCAGTTTGAAGATGATCAGGTAACAATGTCTTTCAGATTTTAAATCATACAAATACTCTTACTAATGTTTGACTACTGTAATACTCTAATAATATACATATTTAGACATGTGCATTACTGTAGTGTTTCTTGAGTAACTGAAGAAAGAGCTAGATAAGTGTTTGTCTTGAACTGTGCAAACAGAGCTGCTGGTGGTTCGATCTAGGCTGATCAACATGGTTGTGGCTAAGCCTTTCTAAACATCTTTTTGTTTTTACTGTAGGAAAAACAAAGAACTAGATTCTTCTCCATCTTTTATTTGTCCATTAATGCTGGAAGTCTCCTATCTACTATAATCACCCCAATTCTCAGAGGTAAGGCCACACATTTGTTTATAAAATAGTTAAACATCAGTAAAGCACGAGTGTTGGATTGCAGTCCAGTTAGGTTTAAATGAACAGCCTGTTCTTTGACACGTTGTGGACTTGTCTGGCAAGTAGTCTTCAAGTCTTCGTGTATGTCATCCAACTTCTCACAGGTAAGGTACTGTCAAAAACAAGCCAGTCTGAGATCTGAACTGAGTTTAGGATCAGAAGGACTAGATCTGAAGAGACATGCTGAAGCCACCAACTTGTACGCCTAATGCATGTTTTAATTCCATGGAGGTACAAATGTGGCACCTCTTCCAATGCCTCTAAAACCATCACACAAGAAAGCGGTGCTGTTTGGTGGGAAGGGAAGGGGAGAGAGAGCCCTCTACTCTGGAAGTGGAGACTTGTTCTAAAGTGTGCCCCTGAAAGTACAGAAGCACCTATGCACACGTGAACACACTTATCCGCGTGACAAAGTAAATCATGTTTTTCATATTGTTAAAGGAGAAAGTTACTTTCTCTTCTGCTTATAACGAACAGTGTGATCCTAAACAAAAAGCAAACAATTCACTGATCCATATGCATATGGATTTTTATGGCAAGCTTACACAGATGGTGCTGTACAGAAGTGCTTGGCAGGAGTCTGAGGAAGGCTGTTTTTTCTCAAAAGAAAGAAAACATCATGAGAGTTCTGGAATAACCCTAAAGCACTGGGCTGAAATTCTGGTGTTTGGGTTTCTTGACTGGAACAGACTGTGTTAGAAGCATTTTAGATGTTTGCTTAATGCAAATTCTAGCCTTTCCCAAAATGGAAGGAGATATGCATAAGACACAACATACAGTTTACTTCCATGCTGATACAGGGTGAAAACTACCTTGGAAAAACTGACCAATTCAGCTGAGGAAAGTGATACCATTACTTCCTGTAAAGGTTTAACTAAAAGGTTAATAAAACTAAATCAAGACATTAATGAGCTACAAGCTAACATTTGTTCAAATCAAATCTTCTAATTCTCCTTTTAAAAGAGGTATGGTGAAAAAGGTAATTTTGTGTAGTCTTTTACTCTTCCCTGTTAGTAACTACATCTACACTTTGAGCATCACTTCAGGATGTGTGCATGAAGTTTATAAAATCACTGACTACTGCTGGGGGTGCGGGGAGTTTTTTTGAGAACTTCTTGAACAAGCTATACTTGTTATGTTATTTACATCTTTGTTTATGAACTTGTCACAAAACTTCTGTAATCTAGTTCCTTTCTCACAAAGAACATGCATCTGAGCGTTCTAGCAGGATTCTTCTCTCCTCAGTGTAAAACTAAATATAAATCTCCTATGAGGGAAGGTTGAGAGAGCTGGGACTGTTCAGCCTGGAGAAAAGAAGGCTCAGGGGGATCTCATCAATGTATATAAATACCTGAAGGGAGGGTGCAAAGAGGAGGGAGCCAGGCCCTGCTCAGTGTTGCCCAGTGACAGGACCAGAGGCAATGGGCACAAACTGAAACACAGGAGGTTCCCTCTGAACATCAGGAAACACTCTGTCACTGTGAGGGTGACCGAGCACTGGCACAGGTTGCCCAGGGAGGTTGTGGAGTCTCCATCTTTGAGATACTCAACAGCTGCCTGGACATGGTCCTGGGCAACAAGTTCCAGGTGGCCCTGCTTGAGCAGGGGGTTGGACCAGATGACCCCCAGAGGTCCCTTCCAACCTGAACCATTCTGTGATTTCTGTGATACATAATTCCTCTTTTCAATAATGAAAATCATCCACTCTGTCAGTAATGTCAGCAGAGTTTTTTTTTTTCCCCCCCTTGAATCAACAATGAATGCAAAGAACAGAAATCCTTTGTAAAATACTGGCAGCGCTGACTGGGACTTTTGTCTAATGTTACTTTGCTCTTCAGCTCAAGAGTGTGGCATTCATAGCAAACAGCGATGTTACCCGCTAGCTTTTGGAGTTCCTGCTGCCCTCATGGCTGTCGCCTTGGGTAAGTGGAACTGTTTCCATCTTGCTGCTTCAGTCACAGACATGATTAGATGATAATGATCTCAGAATAATGAGAAAGTGGTAGAAATCTCCAGGTATCAACTTCTACTGATACCAGATTGTTTCTGCAATTTTTTACTTAAACTTTTTTTTTTTGGGGGGGGGGTGGATTAACCCAAAGCACTCACACTTACAAAAGAGACTAATTGACAAGGAGAGACTGGTAGTGGGGAGAGGCACAAATATACCATCAAATTCTGTTCATTATGCCACTTACTGTCTATATTGCTTGGACTACTGGGGTGTATATAAATAAGATCTTTTGAATGTAGTGTGAGAACTCTGAGAAAATGTGGTTTTTGGAAACTGTCCATAGTCCAGGATACCAAACTGTGTAAGGTAATTGTCTCTGCACTGGAGAAATGCCATACTGGTGTGTCAGTATTTCTCAAACACCTGCATTTTTACTAGCTGCGCTATGGGTCACTCCCCAAGCCTTTCTGCTGCAGCACAAAGACCAAGAAACTAGGGGTGTCAGCATGTACCACAGTATCCCTTGTGGTCCTGGTCCCTTATGGTCCTGATTGGGAATCCACCCAGGGTGGGCCTCCAGCTACTGGTGGCCCTATCTTACCCGTGCACCCAACCCACGGCAGACGGTGACTGCAGAGGTTTGCCCGTGTCTTGCCCTGCACATGGGAGGGTGAGGCCAGGGAATGTGCCTGGGCGTGGGAGCTGAGGACATCTCAGCGAGTCCTGCAGTTCAGGCAGAGCCTCACGTGTCCCTGCATGACATGAGCTGCAGCGTCCTGGGCTCCTGAAAAGGACCCCGTAAAGCTGTCTTAATCTGGTACAGCAAGGCCAGAGGCAAGGTCCTAAGTGGTCCTTGTTTTGACCATCCCTCAACTAAGCTGATGTCCCACTGAGGACTTACCTTAAGAGTTTCCAGATTTAGTCCTTTGTCTTAAATAGAAGCAATCTGCTGGTATTAATTTGATTTCTTTTACTGTATGATAACATGCCAATAGGCATGTTCATTGCTCCTTAGGAGGCTTATTCCCACCCTGATGTAACTCCTTGACTGTTATGGTTTCCATACCAAATTATTTGCCACTATTTTCAATTAATCCTGAGCTGCTTTTCGTTTCTCTTTGTGTATTGTAGTTGTGTTCATAATTGGAAGCAGAATGTACAAGAAAGTTCAACCTCAAGGAAATATAATGACTCAAGTTTCCAAATGCATTGGAGTAAGTAATATTTGTATTCCCAAAAATCCTGGCAGCAATTTTTGAAACTGTTCAGTAAACTTGCCTACATCAGAAATCTGTCAGGATTCTATGAATCATCAGAAATCTATGAGGATGACAACTGAAGATTTTTTTACTTTTTTCCTTGCAGAAGGCTTCTTACTGACACTTCCAGATTTACAGACTGCCTTTTTATTTACCTATATCTTGGTTTACATGTGAATTTATACACAAAGGAAACAAAGTAAGCTGTCAGTGATGCGTAAAAGCTTATCCCAACTTCTGGGAATCATTCCTTCCTCATTTGTGCACCTTTATGCAGCCCTGTAGGAAGAGACAAACATGCCTTGACCTGAGTCAAGAGCAGAGCTACTAGTGTATCTTATCAGCAAAACCTTATTGCTTATTAAAAGAATGTTATTTACAATGCAGAGGTATTTTGATCCCTACTGTATTAGGGAGGTCAGGGGCATCACGTGCCAGTGCAAGCCTGCAAGGAAGGGAGCTAAATCTGCACAAATAGTACTGCACGTCACAACTTCGCAGTGTCTCAACTTTGAGATCAGTGGATTTTTTCATTTATGGGCATTCATTCTCCAGGCAGATCTGCCAGCTTGTAAGCACTGTCAAAACCAAATCTCTATAGGTGACTTGGGCCACCGCTTAGCGTGCTGCCCCTAAGGCCCAGCTCAGCCTTGCATGTTATTCCATGCAGAAGGTCTTAGGAGTCCTTCAGGACTATATTTGTGTATATTCAAGTGTCAAGGTATGAGGAATACCTACAAGATGCAGCTTCTCATAGTGAAATGTACTCTTACAGCCATTCAGCTCTGAAAACCTGTGCATGTGACATTCTTCTATTTATTGTTGTACATAAGTAAGTCTGAAGTAGGCAGGTCTTCAAGTTCCTAACAGCAACCCACATTGAGAGATACTACTCTGAGCTGTTTGGTTCACCTAATCCCAGGTGCATGCTCCACTGGATATGCAGTATGAGGCCTCAAATGCCAAATTCCTTTAGATGCCTAGAGCAGTTAACAGAATTAAGTCACCTTCAGCACCCTCTAAACACTAGAAGCAGGAGTGTCATCTTTAATGACAAAACAGCATTTATAAATATTTGTAACACCATTGAACAAAATTCTGTCTCTCCTCAGTTTGCCATCAAAAACAGGTTTCGGCATCGCAGCAAGGAGTTCCCCAAGAGAGAGCACTGGCTAGACTGGGCGAGTGAGAAGTATGACGTAAGTACTGCGTGAGCACTCCTGTGCTGTGACATCCCTTGACCCTCAGCTTCTCTTCTGTCTGCTCTGATCCATTGCCTCAAGCGCCGGGCAAATAGTTTTGGGCTTCTCAATCATTTAGAAGCTAATGGCCTGGCCAAACTTCAGTGCTCCCCTGGGGCTGCAGGTTACAACCCCAACTCCTCTGGGAGAAAGCACAGCTGTGTGAGTCGATGCTCTGTGTGATCATAGGCTGCCCGGGGAAATTTGAGGGAGGTGAAGAAAAGACCTCTTGTCCCTTGTTGAACAAATACAAGTACATATTATTTATGGTTTAATGACTGCAGAAGGGGAATATGGGCATGGTGTTGACTGTCACGGCTAATGCCCAGGGCCATGACACTTGTCTTGGGATCAAACTGCAGAATTATGCTTAGGAATTTCAGCTTAAGTGGATAAACACAGCATCCCCAGCCTCAGTACAAGCTCCTTCCCATGACTCTCAATACCATGTTTCCCGTAATCCCCAGCCTTGCCTCCTGTCTACCCTGCCCTGTTGCCGACAGCAGCACAAACCTTAGCCTGTCCCCTTTATTCTCCTATTGCCTACATGCATTTTTCTTGTGTGAAATGCATTCCTCAGTCACCCGTCATTCAAATGCCTCCTTCCTAGAAACATAAAGCAGGACTAAGTGCTACATCTCATGCCGCCATCAGTATACGTGCCAAGAGACGCAGGTTTCTCCGATATCAATGTCACCCTTATCTGGCAGCCCTTCGCAAACCTTGACAGGCACAAGGCAGACCTTGTGCTTTTTAACAGAAATCAGCAGAAGTACCCACGAGATACAAAGTTCAGGATGTGCGTAAACATTGCATGATGTGCCTTTACCTGTTGCTGTGCTACAAATAGCAGGCTGCAACTGTGTCGTCTTTTTTTTTTTTTTTTTGACTAATTCCTCTTGTGTAATTCTCATTTGTTGCAGAAACGACTGATTGCTCAGACTAAGATGGTGTTGAAGGTGCTTTTCCTCTACATCCCTCTCCCCATGTTCTGGGCGCTTTTTGACCAGCAGGTAAAGTAGAAATTGTTTGTCTTAACAATTAGGGCTGTACCACGTTGCTCTATGTACTCTGAGGTCACCAGATGTGAAAGGTGCCTGTATGAGGGTGGAAACTAATACTCTGCAAGTTTTTTAATCTGGTTCTAATGCAAAGGGGTAGTTATTGAGTCATGTTAGTACGGGATGTTCTGCAGCCAGGGAAAACTCAAACTACCTAGACATGCCCAGGAACTGATTCAGTCACTGAGGCCTTTCCAAATCTTGTACCAGCCAGGACTCAGAGGATGAAACAGTAATTTAAAGCTTTCTTAGTTCTAACGCTTCGTCCACTCTCAGCTGGGAGATGCAATGTAGGCTCCTAGTGTAAATGCTCTGGAGAGTTGGGGATTAAATGAGCTGGGTGACAGCTTGCTTAATCACTCAAACTTCTTATAAATACATCACACCTTCAAGCAGAAGTATAAGCCTGTAATTCCCATTCCCTTGGTGGACTGAGTGCTCAGGACTCATGAAAGCAGGCTTTCAGAGTTAAGTGTTGAAGTATGAATTTAGGAGGGTATCTGAGAGAATCAAGGGCTGAAAGCTTTATCCAAGGCAGAGTGTAGGAAGTTTGGTCCAGATTGCCTGGATCGTGCTGCTTTAGTCTGGTACCAGTGAGCTGTAACTATCAGTGAGACCCGTTACAAACAGGCAACCTTGCTGTGAAATTCAGAACTAAATCCTCATTACTTGAATAATAACTATCGCATCTCACAGAGGTAAGTTGCGGGTGGTTAAAGGCTCTTGCCACAGACGCAGCGATGCATGTTCCTGTCTCGCCCTGGGCTCGGGCTGAAAGTCAGCCCTGCTTGACCCAGCTCTAGGCAGGTTTTCTGGGCAGAGGGCTCAAGGCGGGTCCAGCCCTGGCTTGGCTGCTCACTGCTGGGCTGTGCGAAGGCAGGATGGACGTGTCGGTGGTGTGGGGCGCTGGGGCTCAGGCAGGCGGCACAGAGGCGCTCGGCTGGCTTCCGCGCACAGCACACGGCGGTGCTCTGCACAGGATGTCCCTGCCATCTCTCCGGCTAATCTCTGCGTCTAAGTTATTTTCCACTCTGTTTCATGAAACTAGTAAATAAAGTGAAATGGGCCATGAGGATCACTTTGTTCAAATGTTTACTTTGCAGAGTAAGAATACTCCTGTAGCAAGCTAGCTTTATTTTTTTATTATATTGCATGTCTTTCCCAACACTTTACACATGAAAGCAATTCAAGACGAACTTTGGAAGATTGGTTTAATGTGGCATTTAACTTTCTCTTCTTCTGTTAAGGGGTCAAGATGGACACTGCAAGCCACAACAATGGATGGGAATTTTGTAGGTTACTTTTTATTGCTTTTCTTCTTAATTAACACTTACTTTTTAGATCAGGTTTTTTTGTTGTCATAATGTTAAAACCTATTTATCTTTTCTTCACCAGGGAGCAATTCAGATTCAGCCGGACCAAATGCAGGTACAGTAATCTTCTGTCTGCCAATTCTAAGTACTTCCCAAAGATTATATTTTTTTTTTTAATTGCCCTTCATTAAAAAAAGGACTTTGAAAAATACTTAATTTTTTTCCCTTCTTATGTTCATCTTCAACAGACTGTGAATCCAATCCTGATTATTTTAATGGTCCCAGTTGTAGACGCTTTGGTTTATCCTTTAATCAAGAAATGCAAGATCAATTTTACGTAAGTTGATGTACTTACCTGACTCCAGAAGAGGCTCATTTTAGTGGTTTCTTTAAACTGCTCTTCCAGCCCTAAAGTAGCAAGAACAAGCATTCAGCTAAAGAGAAAACAGTAGTGTATTTAAAATGGGGTTAATAATTAGTTAAAAAAAAAAATTAAAAAACATATAGGACTCTGCAAGTGGTATGTATAGGTACCACAGACTAGAGGAAGAGAATCTAATAGTAAAGTAACAATATTTTCCAGTTAAGGGTAAAATCTTTTGACTGCAGGAGAGATGCTGTTTACTGGTTTCCACTTTCCCTGTGTCTACCCACTCTCCCTCCCAAAGTATAAGAAGTAGAAATACAACATACATCCTTAGCATGTGTCATGTTTTGGGCTTAAAGCTACCTGAGACAAGGCTTTCCTCTTCGGTCCCAGCGAGGAGTCTGGCTCACTGGATACTTCTAGGTGTGGTTTCAGAGGGCATTGCACATTATTTCTAATTTTGGTAATGAAGTGGTGAGCACTTCCAAGTTGGAGGGGCAGAAGAGACTATAGTCCTTAAATCAATTCTTATAGGGCTAAGATACAATGCTGGTTTTCCATCTAGTTATGAAAAATCTAGGGGGTGGTGGTGGTGGGGTGTTGCTGCAAACACTGTCGTTCATTTGTGGACACTCTACATCTGAAAAACGATACCATAAATAAAATATCTACCTTAAAATTACCCTTAGAGATTGCCTGAATGTCAATCACTGTCTCCCAATTCAACATATTTCCCTGACTTTTTTGTTCAATATTATTTTGATTTAAACCTCGCAATATAGACACAAGTAGTTTACCCTTTTTTAAAAGGCGAAACTTCTTGTCTCTTCATTGTTTTAAAGCTAACAACCGTACTGGATTGTTTTTTTTCCTTCTTGTAGATCAAACTTTTCCAGGTCAGATACAGAAACCTAATAAGTATGTTCAGTCAATGTTTGAGCCCAGCAGATGCAGAGTAGCAGGTTATTAAGATGCTGCAGGAAAGACATTTCCTGATAGTGTAACTATGAATTGAGGCACCCAGTTTAGCAAACACTTTCTGTAACAACGTCAGCCCTTCAGATGGTGATAATGTGCTAGTTGTGACTGTTTGAGTTTCCCACTGTGGAAAGAAAACAACCAACAGCTGAAGCTTTGAATTAATATTTGTCTTAAAACTCACACGTGTTTTGTTGCTGTACTAGGCCTCTGAGGAAGATCACTGTGGGCATGTTCCTTGCATCTTTGGCTTTTGTTGCTGCTGCCCTTGTGCAAGTGCAAATAGATGTAAGTTCAGCCACAAGCAAGTATTTACTATTAATATTTAGTTTTTAATACAGAACAAAGTGTGTTTAAGGGCAAAATGAGCCAAGATTCCTAAATCTGGAACCAAGCATATAAGCACAGAAGGGAGAGAAAAAATTAAAGTATATTGCAATAGTGTGACTAGCATAATATAATTAACTAGCTATGAACACCATCCTGCAAAACATCTTATCTGCCATTAACGTAAATCACACATTAAAGGCAACCTCAGGTCTTTAAACTGACACTAAAAGCTGAAAACCAGAGATCTGTTTGGCCTACCAGGGAGCTGCTTTTTATCTCCGATCTCTTCTGATATTTAGACCGGAGGTAAAGTGTGACAGTCTGGGAAGCATCATCACAGCATGAGCAAAGACGATACCTGTTTAAGGCAGGATTCAACACACCTAACTTTCCTTGCCCCAAAGGGAGGTGTCATGCCTGAACCAGATGTAGGTTTCCCCTGTAGCTGAGGAGTCGGCAACACCTCTGTGAGGTGGTCCATTCCATCCCAAGATCTGAGTAGCTGTCCAGAGGTGCCTGCCTGTCTTCATGCACTATCAAGGTGAGGTGCTCAACTCTTAAATACCTTTAGTTAGGAATGAGGAATTCCCTCCTTAATGTCTGGATCTGGCAGCAAAGCAAGCTTTATGTTCAACTCTGCCTCTTGAAGTTGAAAGTAAAGGGTCTGGCCTTCAGCTGGTATAGACACATCCAGGCTGTCTCCCTGAATGCCCTGTTCAGAAGGCCAGAGCTGTGCACAGACACACCTACTGGCATTGGGCAGAAGCTTCATCAAAGCTGGTAACTTCCCAGACTGTTGCACAAGCATCTCCTGCAGAAAGGTAAAGATGGACCTGTTTTTGTTGTGTGGTGTACCTAAAGAGATTGAAGTGGACAAAAAAGTATGGGAAGGGAGATAAGGTTGAGGTAGAACTGAAATAAAAACAATTCTTGCAGCTCTTGATGCTCTGCAAGAACAGAAGCTAGTTACTGTTAGATCTGGTGGGAACTGGAGTCTCCAGAAGTTCAGTTTCTCTGGGCTAACACAGCAGGCAGTGCCCATACATGTTTCTGCCCAGTTCAGCAGCACCAGTGCTGGGGGGAAAATGGGTCAGAACATGGTACAAAGAAACTCAGGAACCCAGGCTGCCATAGGATGTGGAAAAAGCCCATTCCCTGAACTGCAGAGTGGCCTTGGTAGTGGTGGCATGATGCAGGATGTGATCAAAGAACCACCACATCTGGCAGTGGAAGGCATTGTTGTGGATGAGACACTTCTTTCCCAAGGGACCAGTAAGGCAGCTGTAGTAACAAACCCCGTTATTAAAATTGCATCCCTCTGACAATCACAGATTGTAAGGCAAATGCTGATCTTCATCATGAGATAATTAAGATCACAGTAACTATAGTACTTTTTCCATGTGATTTAGGATACAGCACTGATTTTACTTTTTTCTGTCCTACAGAAAACGCTTCCAGTTTTCCCTGCAGCTGGGCAATCCCAAATCAAAGTAATAAATCTAGGTACTGATAATGCAACTGTTTGGTTTGAACCTCAAATTCAGAGCGTGAACGTAACATCTATGGAGTCTGTAAGTAAGGGGAGATGGGGAATAGCAAGTTAAAAAAAAATCTAATGGAGTAAGTCAAAGTGGTTCTTAACTAACTGTTAAATTATTCTTCTCTAGTTTTTTTTCTCTATTCATTTTAAAGATTTTTTTTGTTTTGTTTTGTGGAATTAATTGTTACTGAAAACACAGTGAATGAAGAAATGGTAACTATTTCAATATTTTAAGTAGTACTAGTTTGCTTTTGCGAGATTTTTTTTTTTAAGAAACTTAATAGTGATTTTGAACTAATTGAAAATTTCACTCTTGCTGAAAAGGTGCGATTTCTTAACCGCAAGAACACCCCTTCCTTCAATAAAAGTCCATTCAGCTGTAGTAAGTCACTGCTCTTACTGTGATCACTTAATTGAGCAGGGAGCTTTTTCTGTGGCTACATCACATATATCAAGCTTCAGAGTTTGCTGTCAAAGAACCTTTTCAGGTTCTATTACAGCACAACCTTGATAGCCCTATTGACAGAAGAATGTGGTAGAGCTGATGGACATTCTTAATAATGGATGCTAGGAAGTGTGTTCTCTGACAGCCTGCTGTCCTGTTTCCATATAGGAGGAGAAACCCTATTCCATCCTCCTCCAAATTTGCCTCACATGGAAACTGAGCTGTGAGGAGAAGATAAGGGCATCCAAATTGTATGCTGATGTGGAATTGATATAACCATGATGCACATCTGAAAATGAAGGGTGTAAAATGCTCCACTCCCTACTATAGACATCTTATATCCAGATGTTTTGGATTAGAAAATGCTTTTTATAATCCTATAAAACACAAGGGCTATTTTAGTACTATATTAACACGTTTGTTAATGTTTTAAGTATTTTATGCTGATGAAACACATTTAGAATATTTAAAACGTGTCCTGGTAATAGTCACTCCTGTTATCTTGAAACCATAAAGACACAGCTTGTATTTGCATCTCTTAGGGGGTGTCGCCATTTGGAAAATGCTGTATCTTACGCTAGTGCCGTCCTTGTAACTAAACAGAGTTTTGCTTGGTGGTGGTGGTAAGCCTGATCTATCTGGAGCAAGAAATACACAGGAAAATATAACATCTATTCCATAATGCTTGTGGGAAGCTTGCATTACTTTGAAGCTTGTGTAATGAAAGAAATTATTAAGAAATGATGATCAAATGAAATTAGAGCTTGATGTAGAAAACCTAACAAAAATGAAAGTTAGGAGATGCTTATGATCTCTGGCACTCCAGAAGTAACAACCCCGTAAACTGCTGACCCCCTGAGTCCATAACACTCCCTCAAAGGTGTAGACAAAAATGCAGTTGCATGGCAATTCATAGCAATTCATTTGTCTTTGTAGACGGCCTACATGACGTTTGAGACTTCTCAGTTGAAATCATTTAACATAACCTCTGGAAATAAAATTAAAACTCAACTTATCAAGTTGTCAGAGGGAAACCGTTATACTCTTGGAGTTAAAAATAATGCGACAGACATTGTTGCTGAATTGGTAAGTCTGCTTAATTCTCAAAATATACATTAACGTCTTGGCAACTACCTGTGTGGAGTGTGTGAAGCTGAGAGGATGAGTTCTGGGTAGCTTTTCCTTTGCCTTGTTTTCTGTCTCTCCCCCTCTCTGCTTTATCAGTGAGACTAGTGACCTGTAGAGAGCAGGGCAGGGTGTTGTTTAAAAAACAAAAGTAAAAAATTACCAACTTAGTATTTAACTTGACAATTACCCTTTCACCAAGACTTAAATGTGTGGTCATACGGCATTTTCTAGTAGACGTGTATCTTGGTAGGATCCTCAAAGGAAAGGTCTGGAGCCTTGCTCTGAAGCCTCTGTTAATTCTCACTGCTACATAATAGTGCGCATTTAAGCTGTTCACTGATGCCAACAAAATATCTTGATAATGGTCTCTTCCACCAGCTGTTTGACAATGTCACGTCAAAACCAGAAGAAGGAAATAATCTCATCAGGTAGAGTTTGTTTTGCTCCTAAATTTTGGCAGTAGTGTGACTTCAATCTACCTCTTGAATGGACTCTTCTTGCTTAACTGCAGGAAATCTCTGCTTGCTGGACAGCTCTCTCGATGTTCAGGGTGTGTAGGAACTTCTGGGACATGATTCATCTAAGCTATCTTGCATATCTACTTTGGGTATAATTTACCTAAAATTGGAAGTGCATGTTTCGCTTCATTGTCTAGACTCTTTGTAGACAACCAGCACAGACTGCATGGCTACACCTCCTTTTCAATCTTGGGTAAGAAGTGTCCTACCACTTCTCTGGTTTTCTTTTGCATCTTCCATTTGCAGATGTATTTGTTACTGGCTATAGTAAAGGCTTGCTTTTGACATTCTCCTAAGCAGGCAGTGGGCCGATGTGGGTCTAGCTTGCTTTTTGCATTAGCTGTGTTTTAAGAGATTTAGAGTTTTCAGAAATGTTAACTGATAAAAATGAAAGGGGAAGACTTGATACTTGTTGTGCTGCCAGTATATAATTAAAAGTAAAACCTGTATGCTTTGGCTTAGGCATATTTTGTTTAGTATTTCATCATTCTTGCATTTTAAAGGTTCATAAACAATTTGCCCGACACTATCAACATCACTATGGGTGACACCTCTTTTGGAACACTGGCATCTCTTTCTGGCAGTAATTACAACCTTTTTCCAGGAGGAAGGTAAGCGTTTTCCTTTACCTAAATCTAACCACTTAAAGAAAGACATGCTTGTCCTTGGGAAAAGGACATAGAACTCTTTTATTTTACATAATACACCCAATTGTCTATACCTATAGTCTGAACTGTGTCTTTTCTTTTTCAGACGATATGAGATTACAGCTATTATAAATTCAATGCCTTGTTCAGTTACTTCAAAAACACTTGGATTTGGCAGTGCCTATACAATTGTAATTAACAAGGTGAGTTGCCAGTGCTGTTGGGTAGACAAGACAGAATTACTTTTCATGTCAATATTTTCTTTAAGTAAAAAAACACTTGTAGAATTATCCCTCTTGCCCTTAATTGTACATATGATAGAATTATTGTATGTTAAACAGAACATAAAACCATCTTTAACTATAAAAATGATGATGGTATGATAATGATATAATGCAAGAATTCATGTTCATCACTAATGGCCTTAAATCTTTAGCCCTATTAGACACTAAGTATCTGCATGAAGTCTGCTGTAAAATAACTACTACTTTATAACTAGGTATGCGGTGCTTCGTATACAATATTTCTTACCCAAAACTTTGTGTATATATGATTATACAGATGATACAGAACTGCTTAGAGTGTCTTTAGTGTACAGACTCTTTATCACTGTTCCTAATGTGCTATTTTAACTTCCAGTGTTCTGGAGAAGTTCTTGATGTAACATATTCTGAAGATATCCCACCCAACACAGTCCATATGGCTTGGCAGATCCCTCAGTATTTTATTCTTACGTGTGCAGAAGTAGTCTTCTCTGTCACTGGGCTGGAGTTTTCATACTCACAGGTAGGTTTTGCTCTTCAGAGCTCATATTGCGTTAAGAATCCTGGTACAAATGAAGATTTTCTGTGACTTATTGGTTTTAAGTGGTGGTTCCATATTGCTGCTTTGTTTGAACAATGATGTCCTCCAGAGCTTCCCAGTAGGACTATAGGCTGGTGCAAGTTGGCCTTGTTTCACTAGCATTCAGTGTTTTCCATGAAGCTATGCTGAATTATATCATTTGAAGATGACCGCCAGTCCTCAAATCTTCTCACATGTGACTTTCCATTGAAAATAAGTGGAACTGTACTGCTGCTGTAAAACCAAACTGGAGAGCCCTCAAATATAAAATGAACAAGTACTGACACCTTATCTCCACACCAGTTTCCTCCATACGGTCTTTAGCAGCAGTTTAATTATACACTCTTAATTCCTTTGTTTTCCAACTCCAGTTTGTATTATTAGCTGTGTGTATTTCTTCCCTTAATTCTGAGTCTATAAACTACAGTGACGGGAACATTGTAAGATGTGGCTTGATAGACTATGATGCACTCAATTTCTTCATTCAATGTGTACCATGTGCGACTGAGTCAGGTGTAAAAAGTGTCTGTTAGTTACTCAGTGTGTACAAAGTAAAAGGTGTTATAGTCAGTACTAGTAATCTCTTGTTCCTCAAAGCCTTCCCCAGGCCTGTTTTAGTTCTCTAGCAATTTTTACTTAAAAAAACCCCCAACAAACAAACAACCTAACCAGGAAATCCCCCTCCTCCCCCCCAGAGAACCAGCATTTGTTATAATGCAAAGAGTGCAGTAAACATCAGAAAATAAGTGATAGCAGTGTTTGACTAAAACTTAAGTGCCTTTACTTCTATAGGCCCCATCTAATATGAAGGCAGTGCTGCAGGCAGGATGGCTGCTAACGGTGGCTGTTGGTAACATAATTGTCCTTATCGTGGCTGGAGCATCCAAACTCAGCGAGCAGGTAAGCACACAAGCAATTACACTGAGAAAGTGGCTCTAATATGGGGGGAGTCAGGGCTCATAAACCACAACTTTTGAACATCAGCATTATGGTGGATTTGCATTTATAACAGGAATGTAGGAGGTTAGTGTTAGCTACAAGAGTGTACCAGTCAGTTGCAGAACTAGTGCTTGACTGAATCTCACTACAGTATATCAGTAATAGAGTTATGAATCTTTATAAGCTATCTGGATTAACACTAGGGCTGAAGGCTGTCACAACAGGGTGGTAACTTGTCTTCTGGAGCCTCTTCTAAAGTTTCTGTTGGTCTTCTTCCCCAGCACTTTCCCAGTGTGTGTACACATGTGCATACACAAATTAAACTTTAAACAACTCTAGCAAATACTACTTCAACAAAGGTTTCTACCTCTTATCTGTTGTTTGCCATTCTGAACTCTTGCTCTGTCAGGCTCCTTTTCTTGCAAGCAGCAGTTTCTAGCATGTCTACAATAAATTGCTTCTCATGGTGTGGAAATGCTGTGAACTTCTGGGCTGAAATTCTAGACTAATGGGATTGAAACCTACCAAAATTCTGTCCACTGTTAATGAGCCTTCACCTGCATATCTCAGCCTTGCCATGTGCCTTCTGGCTCCATTGGTTTCAAACCTCATTCCTTGGGGCATGAAAGCTGTGGTTCTCCTGGTGAGGAGCACTTGGACAAGACTTTATCAGACTACTTGTGGCACTCCCTAATGAATCAAAAAAGACAACAGAGAGGGGAGAGCCTGTCTTTTAAATGGGTCTGGTGGTGCTGGTTTCAGCTAAGTTAACCAGAAAGAGCATGAAACAGAGCTGTTGAGGCTTTTCAGGTGGAGATAGCACTTTGAAACCAAAGTTTCTGGTCATGTTCTCTGCCCAGATCTGTCATCAGTGGAAACTTTACTGCAGACCTAAGTGGAAGCAGGATCACTGCCAGCCTGGATAAAAATGAGATTACCTGACCAAAAGAGGGGGCTGAGTTTCCTTTTCAGGCTTTCGCTCCCTTCCCGTGCCTCCAGGAAGAGGATATTGTAGAACTTTCCAGCTTTCATAGAACTTTTGCCTCTTCGTTGAAGACAGAACTACTGAAAGGGCCTCAATTCTGAGTTGCTTTAATATGTGTTATATACATCTAATACTTAGTCCTTTAAGTCATATGGTACTTGTTATATGTGCTCAGTTTCACATTCTGAATTAACTTCATTCCTTGCAAATGGTAAAAAGGTGTAATATCTTTGAGGAATGAATATTGATGGATAAAATATACTTTTTTTTTTACAGTGGGCAGAGTACGTGCTGTTTGCTGCCTTGCTGTTGGCAGTTTGCATCATTTTTGCTGTCATGGCTTATTTTTATACCTATATTGATCCAAATGAGGTTGAAGCCCAACTTGATGAGGAAGAAAAACAAGTCAAAAAGGATCAAGACGTCTATGAAAAGCAAGCTGAAGCTGACTCTCAGATGTAAAAGGTGTATTCAAGGAGTGTTTGTAAATTATGGTATCCCGTTACCCTGATTCCTCTTACTGCAGGGATAGTTATCAGTAACATCTCTGGATAATATGTCCAATGGGAGAGGTTAAGAAAAACTGTTTTAACTTAAAATGCAGCCTCTCTTGGGAAGCAAGAGGAAAAGATTAGTCTCTCTTGTACTGAACATGGTATCCTGAAGAAACTCCAGCAGAATTTGCACTCTTAATGTACCTCAAGCTTAAATATATAGCATTAAAATATTGAAATTGCACTCAGCACTATTAGACCCTGTGAAAAGATGTATTTTTATACTGCATTTCAATTTTATATCATGAAAAAAATAAGTATTGCCAAGAAATGGTAATCAAAGCCAAGCTGTCTGCATGACCCGTCTAGCCACACTGTTACTTGAAAGCAGCAGGTCACATGTGCCTTAAATTCTTTTGTACTTCCTTACGGATAATGGGAGCGAAGCTCTGGCATTGCTCAGATTAAAATGCTGTCTGTGCTCCACAAGGCAGTAATATGGACATCCACTGTAATATAATGCTTTATGTGCCTGTTTATTACCCATTTAACTCCTGTTATGTTTTCAATTAAATGTATTAATGAGGTGTCCACTCAGGTAAACAGACAATGGCAAATGTCACTTGGAATAAGCAACAACAATAAAACCTTTGTTGTAACAAAATAATGGAAGTGATGTAAGAGTATGACTTAGTTGCGTGTTAACAAAACTTGATACCACCTCTCTGCTGCTTCTTTATACGTGCTCCACCACTTGAAGCTAATGGACCGGTGTCAGTCTTCTCTATCTTAACATACCTGTTATGGTAGGGAAGACTAAAGTTTGCTGCTTAACAAGATTCTGTAGCCCTGTGGACCATGTTATGGAGTGCCAGTGGTCTATGTATTTTTTTGGGGAATTCCTGTATTATATATCCTGTATCCACATCCTACACTTTCTCCAGCAGCTGGCTTGGACTCCCTGGCCTATCCAGTAGCCTGGCCAGACTTACAGCTGCTTTGATACCTGGCTTCTGCTACTCTCATCCTGCTTTACAGCAAGTCCAGCTTGTATGTGCAAGTGATTGCACAGACATACATAATCAGTGTGCATGTTGCCAGTACTGCAGATGCATGGGCCCCTGTGACCCCTGGTTCCCACTCCACTTGCTGGTACTTAGACCTCCATGTATGCATGTGCACAGAGAAGAGAGTCCCTCACCCATGTGAACAGTTAGAAATGAAGTTTGATAAGGCAAATTCAAGGTGCTCTTCACCTTCATCCCAGTTAATCCTGTACCCCATAGGCAGGAACCCCTGTTAGTCTCTAAGGTCATCCAGGGAGAGCCCTTCCTATGGATTCAAGATGCTGGGTGTCCCCTACAACCCATGGGGCTGAGGGTTTCCTGGGACAGCCCTGGGAGGAGCTGGCTCCCTGCCATCCTCTGAGGAACTAAGGGGGTTTGCACTGGTTTTACTTGTGGTAGACTAGCCAGCCTTTTCTTTGCCATGCAAGTTAAGCAAAATAAATTGCCTCTTAACTGCATCCCTACAAGATAGCTCCTTCTGTCTGCTATTTTGCCCATACCAGGTGAAATATTTATTTAGCATTTTAGTATGTCTTTTTTTTTTTCCTTTGATATGCAGGTCATATCTATTTTTTACATCATAAGCTGTTGGACATTTGCACTTTAGCAAACCCACTAACTTGTCTACCACATGGATGGATGTATTTTATGGGTAGAAAGCCACTAATGCTGTAAAATTAGATGGGAAAGCTTTCTGGTGAGGAGAGAACAAGCTCCCCCATCTCTTCAGCCCTGTAAGGTAGTATGGAGGCAGTCATATGTGATGAGATTTTATCTCATTTTCAACAGGGATTGAAGTAATTAAAGTTAAAATATCCATGTGTCTTCTCATCCAAAATTTGATGTGAAAAAAATCAGACAATTGTATAGACACCTGGGCAGCTCTTGTCAGCATTGCTGTGACTGTGTCTAGAAGCCATGTGCAGGGAATTGGTCTTCAGGCTGGAATCAAGTGTTTTCAGTCCCTTAGTTTTGAGGATTGAAGAGGAAAGGTTAGCCTCAAAATCTGACAGCGTTTCATTTTGCATGCTGCTGTCTAGACTACCAGACTGCTGAGAGGGTCTTTTGCATATCTTTTTCTGTTATAGAGAAGATACCCTGAAATCGATCTAATTAACAGTTCATCATTCTAACTTCAGTTCTTATTTAAAACAAACAAAAACATTAAAAAAAAAAAAAGCAAGAGTGGTGAATTATGAAAGCCTGTTCTAGCAATCAGGTCTGCACTCATGTCTGGCCAGGTAGATGCGGGAATGTGTATGTCCGTATGCTTACTAATATTACAAATATACTATACGGCTTCCATGTTTTTCCTACTGCTAATGACACTTGACCAGGGCACTTAAAACTGTTCCAAGTCAGATTCTGTGAACTACATGAATCCAGCCCTTGCCATGTGCTGTTCTTGAAAATGGGTCTGTAAGCAGCACAATCCTTTCAAAGACTTCTCTATACTTTTTGGCAAACGCCTATGCAAAGTTGTTGGGTTTTTTAATTCCTGGAGTTAAATTCCTGGAAGCAATTGCAAGCCACCTATATATACTGCTACTCTACAAATTACTTTCACATTTTTCATTCATGCCTTGACACAGTGCTTTAGCATAATACCACTGACCATCTTGCAGAGGTTAGAATATTGATAATAAAATAACTGGATCATGCCTCGGAGAGTGAAAGAGACAAAATTATCAAAGGGGAAGTAGCAACTCCTGAAATCATCCTACTCCACCAGGAGGTGGTTCAAGACAATCAAAGATGCCCCATTTCCAGCCTAATTCAATTATTGCTGTTCCTCCTAGAGATACCACTGCAGGACAGGATTTTGTGGAGTTTAGCACAGTACAAAGGTGACATGAGAGCCCGCAATTCAACGGACTCTCCATTATTGCTGTTAAATTTTTATCACCTTCCCATGCTCATTCCTAATCTGAGTCAAAGCTCTGCATAAACACCTAATGCCCACAGGTGGATACCAAGTCACAGTCCATGTCCTGGGGAGTTTAATGGTTGATCTAACAGCTTGGGGAGAGGGAGGAGAGGAAGATAAGCAAAACAGGACCTGTGTTTTTCAGACAGTAGCTATGTGCTTACCTGAATCGGTTCAAATCGCAAGTACATTTTTAGAGGCTTATGTGAAGATCAGCAGCCACCTGCTGCTGGCACCCACCCCATCACTTGGAAGCTCTCAGCAGCAGCCTGGTGCAATGACTCTATGAGATGGTGAAGGAGGGCAGTCAGGGAAAAAATGGGCAGGATGTGGGAGTCGGTTTGTCACCTTTTTGGCTGGGGTATGGGTTTCACAAGTGTAGAGAGCTCAGTGAAGAGCTGGGAGAAGGTCACTTGGAGCACGGCCTGAGTGAACTTGGACAAAAGGTGGGGTGTAGGCAGTGCACCCTCACAGGTGAAGCCCATGCCGCAGCAAGCACAGTTCTTCCCTGTGTAGCCTTCATAACTGCTTTCGTGGGTAGCAGCTGGGCTGGACTCGGCCAAGCCACTTGTGCTTTTGTAAAGGGTCATTTTCAATGAGATACAGAACCCAAAGCCTTTTGGCAATGGAACAGCTCGTAGAAACTACATGTCATTATTTACTTCGTACTGACGTACCAAACACGGATTTGACGATCTTAAGCGGTGTTACAACTGTCACTGACTGCATCCTAAAGGAATCCTAATCTTTGCAGAAGCTAATCAGATAGGCTTGCCTTTGCCAGCAGACATACTGGAAGGAAAAAGCTGGCTTTCTCTACAGTGCCAAAATGGCTGTAAGACCTTCTGACACACTCATATGAAGATTATCTGCAGTGAAAGTGGCTCTGTCTCGGTAACACCATTGCTGTATTTTGGGGGTGAGGGGGAAATAAAAATTGAAGCTGTGGAAGCTGCATAGCTAAATAAAAATGATGCAAGAGCTAGGCATGAAATAGAGTGAGGCACTTTCACAGCACTCACTCTCTAACTGCTGTTGCAACCCCTCGTTCGACCCGCTTCTGCGGTTAGTGGCAAATAAAAGCCTCATGAGATTAAGATGAGATCTCAGCTGTCTGCTTATGTGAAATTGTGTTTGTCCTCCTCCTGTGAGATTCAGCTGACTGCAATGTATATCCCTGTCAGAGCTTCTTTCCATCATAGCCCATATAGGGCTTTTTTACTCCAAATTGAACATCCAGTCCTTACAGCTGGGAAAAATACTTTATTCAAGCCTGATAAACTCAAATAATAAAAAAAAAAAAAAAAAAAAAAAAAATCAGTGTTCCTGGAGCCATGCCGTGCTTCCTTGGTAGTAAAAATTGGAAATGTCTTCTACTTATATGGGAGTCCTATTTCCTAAAGGTCTTATCTTACAAAGAATGTTTCAAGTAAAGGTTAATTCAATTGGTGCAGCTCCTTCAGGCTGGTACTTTACTTCAACAGAGTGCCTGAGATCAGTTCTGTAACCACCTAACTGAATTAATGATATTGAAAGCATTTTTACTCAAATCCGATCCCAAACATGGGAGGGTGGGGAAGCAACACTGCTGCATGAGTATACTAAAGTTAGAGCCGTCGATGTTCCATGCTGACAAGGCCTGGCTGAGTGCTGAACCTGGCGGGGGGGGATGGGGAGGGGGAGACTGCACTTGAGAAACTGAGCATGAAAATGAGGGGGGGGGAGAGAGGACCTCCAGCTCCTCCACCTTTGCAGACCCTGGACGTCTGCTGCTCTGCAGGGAGCAGGAATATGAGGCTAATGGTCACGCTATTCGCCGCCGCAGCAGGGCAAGAAGTTACTGTCGCAGACCATCTCCTCCCCCTGTTTGGGAGCAGGCTGCAGTCAGTTACCATCACATTCCTGATTGACCTACGGAAACCCAGGCTGGGGTTTGGGGTTTTTTGTTTGTTTGTTGGTTGGTTTTGGCTCTTT